GTGGGAAGCACTGAGGTGTTAGAAATATTGGGAACTGTCTATTAGGTCACTCCGTTCCTCGTGCTGCAGCTCTGCTTTCCAAGGCAGAAGAGCTTAGTGTTGGTGACTCGGGTCTGGAGTCCAGTCGTCTGGGTTCCTAGCCCCTGCCCCGCTATGACGAGCCTTGTGAGTGGACATGGTGCCTACTGTTCTGTGCCTCAGCACCCTGGACTGTAGACTGCAGCTGATGATGGTAGCATGACTTCACGGGTTGTGGCGAAGACTAACCGTGGTGTGTTAATATACCCAAGGAGCTTAGAACTGTGCTCAGTTTGCAGTAAAACACGCAGTAAATATGAGCCTCTGTTCATGTTTGGCTCTTCTGAAACTTTGTTAAGAAATGTTTCAGGCATTCTAAAGCATTTAAAGACCCAAGGAGCTTAGAACTGTGCTCAGTTTGCAGTAAAACACGCAGTAAATATGAGCCTCTGTTCATGTTTGGCTCTTCTGAAACTTTGTTAAGAAATGTTTCAGGCATTCTAAAGCATTTAAAGAGCAATGTAACAGCATGGTCACCCCCAGCTTGCAATACAAAACACCCCATCACAGCTGAAGCCTCGCATGCCCGCCCCAGTCACAGTGCTGGATTTTTGTCATTCGGATGCTTGTCATTCTGTGCTTCCTCTACGCTCCTACTCCATCTGATGTATCTCTAAACAGTGAGAGCGAACAGGCGCTCTCTCCACACCAGGACACAGGTGCAGCATGGTCACCAGCCCCGCACAAGGTGTCGTTTTGCAAGCACACCCTCCTGTGATGCTTTCTCGCTGTGTCTTTTCACCTCCCTGAGCTGGGAAAGCGCTGCTATTTCCAGATGGGCCAATCAGTGATCCGAAACACTAGTTAGGACCCCTATGAGGGGGTCTGAGCTTGTGGGGGCTGTGGCCTGCACCCCCACTCCAGCTCTTTGCTGACACTCCTTTCTCCCTTCCAGACAGAGATGCGCCTGCAGGACCAGCACCTGGCCAGGCAGCTCATGCGCCTGCGTGGCGACATCCACAAGCTGAAGATAGAGCAGACCTGCCGCCTCCACAGGAAGATGCTCAACGATGCCACCTACGAGCTGGAGGAGCGGGACGAGCTGTCTGACCTCTTCTGCGACTCCCCGCTGGCTGCCTCCTTCAGCCTCTCCACGCCCCTCAAGCTCATCGGAGTCACCAAGATGAACATCAGCTCCCGCAGGTTCTCTCTCTGCTGAGAAGCTCTGGGAGGGGTGGGGGGGTGCGTCACCCCCAGGGCGTCACCCCAGAGTCAGGGCTAAGTCCTGCAATGGGCAGATCATGACCCCCAGGACCTCCTGGAAGGTGCTCCAGTGTCTCCACGACAGCTCTTCTTTGATAAATACCCAAAGAGCTCCCAGAAGGGCCATCCCAACCAGACATTACCTGAGAACTGGGTTCCCAGCACAGTCCACCTCCTACATTCCTGTTTCCTGGAATCTCTGGTGCTATGAACTGGGATGTCAATGGAGGGCTCCCCAAAAGCTGTTCTCTTTCCAGAAGGCTCTCCCCCAGGGCACTGGGGAGATATGTTAGATGTGCCCGTCTCAAGCTGTTGCTGTCATCAGAGTACTGGCTCAAGTTTGCCTTATGTAGGTGACTCAGACCCTTGACAGGGACCCGCCAAGAAAGAAAAACCAAAAGGGATACCAGGTGGCCAGGGATGCAGGCTCCATGGCCAGTGGCCAGTGCCCCTGGTGAGCATGTGGTCCAAGCTGCTGTCAGTCCTGCACCTTGACACGACGAGACAATGTAGATTGTTTCTAGTATGTGCAGGGTGTGTGACGGGCATACATGGTGTAGCTTGGGAGGGGCAAGCACAGGTACCCTTGTTGCCTCCGGTGGCCATGGGCACCAGTCACAACCTCCAGAGAGCCCCTCCGCTGCCACCCCACAGTCCTGGGGGTGCCTGAGAGACCACTGGTGCCCGAACCAGGCATGTCGTGAATGGATTTCCCATTACTAAATTCTCCTGAAGGGAGCACAACAGCGACCTCCTGGTGCGTTCTGGTGAGGTCACCCCTGTCTCCTTATTGCCCTCCCCAGAAGGACAGTCGAGGGAGCCCAGAAGCCCGTCCTGAGCCTGCTCTGTGCCTGACCTAAACAGCTAATTTTAAGGAGATTGTTACTAATGTGTTGCTAACTTGCTACTAACCGACTCTTGTCCAAATGGGGAAGCCAGTTGGGTAGGTCAAGTACAGAGTTTAGGATTTAAGAGTTTCTCTCTCACACAAGCATGAGGGTCAGTAAGTTGAGACTCAACAGTTTGGAGGAGCCACCCTTGCATAACACCACATGGCAGGGGTCCCCCACGATCAGAAGTGTTTTTGACTTTGGTTCCTCTAGCCTGATTAGTGAGTAGAGCAAAGCCTGGGCAGGGAGAACGGCTCCCTCAGGTTATATGGCTGTTCGGTGGCTCTAGAGTACTGATGTGTAAAGTCATTACTGCTAATGCCTCTCTAGCCTGATTAGTGAGTAGAGCAAAGCCTGGGCAGGGAGAACGGTTCCCTCGGGTTATATGGCTGTTCGGTGGCTCTAGAGTACTGATGTGTAAAGTCATTACTGCTAATGCCTGGACAGATCACACATTGATGAAACGGTCCCAAAGATGGTCCTGATGCTTTTCCAGACCCACACACTGCCAACCCCTCTCCTCTCCACTTCACTCAGCCCCACCTGGACCTCTCACTTTGCAAGTCGGAATATTTGGATCAAACGCAGAGCGATGCCCGGACGTCGGACCCACAGGGCATGTGTCACCAGTAACTGTCCACAGTCTGAGTGTGTGTCCTGCTGCTGTGTCATCCACATGTCTCTTCCTGTGTAATCTCAGTGGGGCCATGTCAGCACACACACCAGGACCCATGTAGGAGGAGGTCATTGTTCTTTCGTGAACTGGAAGGGGAAAATGCAGATGAACGGTCCCCAGTAGACAGAAGAGAACTTGGTCTCTTCCTCGTGATTTCAGAGAACCAGAGGGTTTATCACACGTGGCCAAGACTTGTCATGGGCCCTGCTCTGCGTCCCTCTGAGAGCCATGCCCAAGCCCTGCCAGGTCCTGAGTGGGCGCTGACATCCTCAAACCCTCACAGAAAAGCCCATTCTGTATTATGAAAAGGTGCCAAACTTGCTTTTTCTGATTTTTTAGAAAGCAGTCATTATAGTAACTGAAATAACTGGATTCAGCTAAAGCTGAACAATTTAGTTGAATGTAGTCAGTGCAGTTGGGTTGGATGCAACTGAGCAATGCAGCTGCTCAGTTGACCCCACACTTTCTTACCGTCTTTCTTCTCTGGGAGGAAACTAAGATCAGGACACACATTTTGGGATAGGTTAGATGTCTCAGCTATTCTGCTCAGTTCATCCCAAGAGAATTTTGCTTTTGGATAAGGAAGACAAAGATGAGGAGGATCGCAGAAGTGGAGGGAGAAGACAGCTCTGTTTTCTCATGCACAGTCTAGTGTCCATGAGCCCCTTCTTGCAGTGAACATAACTAGCAAGATAATTCAGCTCAGTGAAATCCCTGCTTTGTCAATTCAAGAGATGCCTATGACCTAACCTCCATTGCCACTTTCTGGCTTGCCCTGTGTATATGATATTGTTTGTGGTTTTTTCATCGTCCACCCATCTCTCTTCCATCCCCATGGACCTCCAGGTGTAAAACACCCATGCAGTGTCTGACACCTTCCCAGGCTCAGTAGCAATCACAGAGGCCTGGAGGCCTGTGCAGGCTCAACCAGGGCCTGACCTAGCCCGAGATCTATCTCCTGTAGCAATACCAAGTGCTATTACATAATCAAAGGACAATTTATAATTTTATTTTTTATGATTATTTGTTTCTATATTGCTGTTAGAAAAAGTAAAATAAAAAATATTTCAAAAGAAGGTATCCCTATGAAGAAGAGAATTTTATTTTCTTATAGCTTGTCCCTGTTACAGCACACACAATGCCAAGCACTTAGTAGAAAGGATGGATGGATAGACGGACGGATGGATGGATGGATGGATGGACGGATGAATGGATAAAAGGATGGATGCATAGATAGATGGATGGATAGATACATGGGTGATGGATGGATGGATGCATGGATGCATGCATGCATGGATGGATGAATGGGTGAATGGATGGATGCATGGATGGATGGATGGATGCATGGATGGCTGGATGGACGCATGCATGCATGCATGGATAGATGGATGGATGCATGGATGGATGAATGGATAGATGGATGGATGCATGGATGGATGAATGGATAGATGGATGGATGCATGGATGGATGGATGGATGCATGGATGGATGGATGGATGGGTGGATAGATGGATGGATGGATGGATGAATGGATGCATGGATAGATGGATGGATGAATGGATAGATGGACGGATGCATGGATGGATGGACGGATGGACAGATGGATGGATCAATGGACGGATGGATGCATGGATGGAAGGATGGATGGATGCATGGATGGATGGATGGATGGATGGATGAAGGGATGGATGGATGATGGATGGATGGATCAATGGATGGATGGACAAATGCATGAATGGATGGGCAAATGGATGGATGGACAGAGGGTCAGATGAATGGACAAATGGAGGGAGGATTTGAACAATCAGATGAAGGTGTGGGAGGAAGGAAAAGATCAACTAAAATCACTCTTGTTCCTTTATTGTGTCTTCCCCTAAGGAGAGCTGCCCAGGGTTGTTGCCATCAGCAGTTCCACAGTATGGGCTCTATGAGCTCCAGATGTGAAGTTAGGAGACACAGTCATCATTCCTGAATTTGACTGAGGCCAGAGCCAAAGCAAATCTGTTCTCTTCTCCAGTTGCCTTTCCCAAAGATGGTGATAATGCCATCATGATTCAAGGACAACTTGGGCCTTAAATGTTTTCAGCCACTCAGAGCACCTCTTATGCCTCAGAACAGAAGCATGCATGAGAGTCACCCGGGCTGCTGCTGCAAATGCCTATGTATTGAAAAGTACCGGGGCCCTCACCCAGGGTTCTGGCTGTGTGGCTCTGGTGAGGGGTCTGGGGGTCTGTTTTTAACAAAAACCACAGATGATGGATGAAGGTGGTCCAAAGACACTCTGAAGAGCCTCTGAAAGGTAAGCAGGCAGGGGAGGCACTGCCTTGAATCCAACCTTGATCAGTGTTCAGATGTGGCCCGTGTCAGAGTCACGGTGGGCATTGGCAATCCCACTTTGTGAGAAGAACTGAAGAGCAGTGCTATAATAATGATACCCTGAGATTACGTCCCCTGCCTGCTCCAAAGCAGGGAGCAACTGTGCTCTTTGCACAAAGACCACATGGCGTAAAGCTGTGGGGTGTGAGGAAAGGGACACATTGGGGAGCCACCAAGTTTCCTCTGCAGACAGAACCACATGAACACTCTCCAGCCCAAAGGGAAAGTGCTCTAATGTGGCCTCCCGAAAGGCAATGACTGTAAGTGCCACAGAGAAGGTAAAATGTGAGATGGCGTCCTGCAGAGGTGGCCAGGGAAGGCTTCCCGGAGCAGGTGCTGTTTCAGCTACAGTGGCAGCCACGCAAGTGTCAGGAAGAAGAGTGACCCAGATGGACAGATGAGGCCTGGGCTCTGCGGCAGGTGGGGCGAGGTCTGCAGGGGAAGCTAGCACAGCCCGGGGGCTGCAGACACCAACTGGCAGGTGGGCTGCAGAGACCAGCAGGCCAGCTCTTGTCAGCCTTGTGGTCAGAGCAAGGAGTTTTGGTTCTATTTGGGTTGTGCAGGAAGTTTTTTTGAGGTTTGTGAGTGACATATGATCTGATTGTAACTTCAGCAAGATCTGTGTGGAAAGTACTCACAGCTGTGTGGAAGGTAAGGGGACGTGGGGCAGAAGTGGGGCCTGGAAGAGCGATTGAGAGGGTGACATAGACATGAGTGACAGCAGCCGTGGGGGACGAGAGGAGGCCTGATTGGGGATTTACCTGGGGACATACTCCAGGACACTTTGGAGGTGAAGCCAGCAGGACACACTGACAGCTCAGGTGTTCAGTGTGGGGGGCGGGGATGAGTTGAGGACGTTCTCATCCACATTCGCTGAAGATGCATCAGGAGGCGGTGGCACCCACAGTTCTGTGTCACGTTATGTTTAAATGTGGTTAGACATCCATGTGGGGCTTGCATTGGACACAGGGCCTGGAGTTCAGGGAAAAGGCCAACATTAGAGGCACCAATTTG